CTAATATAGCTCTTTCCAGGAAATAAGAATGATCATTCGGGTTAGTTCGAAATGTGGGAAAAACAGCGTCAACAACTGCTGCGATCGGATCGTCAAATTCCTTCACCAAAAACTCATCAGGAATATCAATATTTGCATAACCATCTTCATCCTCCCCAATATTTCCATCTCCAATCTTCGCAATCCAATCTGCAAACTTTTCCAAATCACTGGAATTTTCACCCGGCTTCAGATTTTGCAAGCGCATGTTCTTCGACAATTTAAGAACAGTGCAATGCCTCCACAACTCAGACGAATTGATAGTTGCATGGACAATATCTTGTCGTCTTCCTTTTGGAACAACTGGCAAGATTTGACGAAAATCTCCACCGAACACAACAGTCTTTCCCCCAAAAGGCAGTTTTTTTCTACGGGGATCAACATTCTTCATTATATCTTTCAAACTTCGATCCAAAGCCTCAAAACAATATCTGTGCATCATTAGAGCCTCATCCCAAATAATTAACTTCGCTTTAATTATAAGCTCAGCAAGAGGCGTTCCACAGTTAATATTGCAAGTCGATTTTTCGTGTATATTAAATGGAATAGAGAATCTAGAATGCGCTGTTCTTCCACCGGGCAACAACAAAGAAGCTATACCACTGGACGCAACGTTCAACACGATATCTCCGTTTGACCTCAGAGCAGCGGATAATGTCTTCCATATAAACGTCTTGCCTGTACCCCCATAACCGTAAACAAAGAAAATCTTCCCATAGAGAGAGTTAACAACACGCATAATCGTATCATAAACCATATGTTGCTCGGAGTTCATCATTGATAGATATCGTTTATGATCTTCTTTCAAACTCTCGATGTCATGACACATCTCATCGTACATGACTCTAGACTGCATGCATGAAAAGAATTTATCTGATGGAAATGGCAGGGTTGGAAAGTCCCGCAGAGTTTTCCCAAAGCGTTGTAAGATCTTATTAATCTCCACCAAATCAAAATTCTTCAAATCATCATCAGTTAATTGCAAATCTGAAAGAAAAAAATGTGAAAAAAAAATGATTGTATAAAATGATTAAAACAAATTAAATAAAAAAATGTTAAATGAATAATAACCTGCATATTGAAGTCTTCGACGTTGTAGGAGCAAAATATCATCCGATAGGTAACACCAACACGAATTCCACACAACCTCAGGACGACTAATCGATCTAGACGACAAAAGGGTTGCAAATAAAACTCTCGTGGACTGGCCAGATGCTTAAGTGCTTGCTTCGGCTATTCCATCAATATATTCTCTATCGTCCTCCAATAATCCCAAAGCATAGCAAGCATCTATAAAATTGTCATACTGGACACCATTCACGAAACACAAATCCCTATAACACGTGGCACCACGCACAACGTTTAACAGACACCTTAAGTAGTACATGTCTCCACTTCCTGGAGGGACAAAGAAAATCCGACCAATCGCAAATCCAT